GCCGGCGGGGCCTGGGGCGGGGCGGGGGCCGGAGGAGCGCCTCACCCCGAGCCGGGCGCGGCGCTGCCGCGGATCCGCGCGTCCCGTGCGCCGTGCGCCGCGGCGGCCCGAGAGCGGCGGCGTGCGGTCGGGCCGCGCCGTTCGGAGGCGCCGTTCGGAGGCCGATCGCCCGCCCGCCCCGCTCTCCGTCTCCGTTCGCCGCTCCGCTCCGCGCCGTTCCGGCCGTGCCGCTGCCCGGGCCTGGCGCCGCCGCCGGATTCCTCCGCGGTGACTCATTCATTATTCGCTGCGAGCTGAGAGGTGCAGCTCGGGCGGAGCGGCGCGGGGCTGCGGGGCCGAGCGCTGAGCTGGGGCCGGGATCGCCGCCTCCTGGGTTCGCCGCTTCCCCGCCGCCGCTCCGGGCGCGGCGCACGTGCGGGCAGCCGGCCGGCACCGCGGCGTTGGGTGCGCGGAGCTCCGGCGCGGCTCGTGGCGGGGCTGCCGGCGCGGTTTGCGCGGCGCGGTTCGGGACGGCGCCGAGGAGCAGCTGCGATCGCGTTGCCGTTTGAGCTTTGCTGCGTAAAGCCTGGCGATGAACCCCCGGCTCTGATGGCCGATGAGGCGCTGCGTTCTCCTCTGGAAGCTGCCGGCGCTGTCGGAGCTCCTGCAGGGAGCCGCGCACCGGGGGCTCCGCGTGGGTCCCTGCCGGCCCTTACAACGCTGTGATCCTACGAAAAGCCTCCATCTGAGCCCAGTTCGATGAAACCTGGGGGTTTGTTTGGCGTTTGCATTTCTGTAGGTGTGGATTGGAGCACACAGCTGGCACACACAGCTGGTTCTGGGGCACCCGGTACTGCAGGGATCCATTCACACAATCACCAAGGTTGGAAAAGACCTTCAAGATCCTTCAGTCCAACCGTCCACCCATCACCAATAGTTCTCACTAATCCATGTCCCTTAACACAGCGTCCAAACGTTCCTTGAACACCTCCAGGGTGGGTGACTCCACCTCCTCCCTGGGCAGCCCATTCCAGTGCCTGACCACTCTTTCAGAGAAGTAGTATTTCCTAAAGAAAAGGAGTATCTCCTAATTCAGGCACTCTGCCCACTGTGCTGCTGTGGTTGGGCAGCAGCTGTGCCCCATGGGGGGCTCTGAGCTGGGAAAGCTGAGTGCATAAAACAGACAGGGACGCGCTGCTGTTTGCATCTCTGCTCGTGAGGAGTCGTGGAGGGACTCGCAGAGGGAAACGCAGAGGGTGTTTGGTACTTGGAGAAGTTCTGCTCGCCGATGTTTCCCTGCAGCTGCTGTGACCCGGCTGCGGGATGGCTGGCGGTTGCTGGGGCTCTCCATCTCATGGTTGGCAGAAATGGGAGTTTGCAGTGCTTGCCATGGAACCACCGGAACAGGAGGTGTCTGCAACACACCTCACCGACAGCACCAGGACTTCTGCACACATGGAGAGCAGTGGGAGCCACCAGGCCGTGGGAGCACCATGGAGAGGAGGCAGCGCAGCGCGAGGAGCAGCCCGGCATCACCACCTCCCGCTCGGGCTGCTGGCCTGCAGCCTCTGCTCGGTCCCAGCCCAGAGCTCTTCATACCTCCAGGAAGTCTTTTCTCCTCACTGACTTCACGTGCGCTGTGTGTGAGTTAAGGTACAGGGCTGTGCTGAGTGCTGCAGCTTTCTTTTCTCAATCCCCACTGAGCCAAATCGAAACTTCTCCCTTCTGTGGGCAACGGAGCTGTGCTGCACTGCAGCAACGTGCTGTGAGCTGACACTGCTGGGACAGAACCGCCTCAACTCCGGCTGAGCCCAAACGTGGCAGCCCGGCGGTGCCCTGGCAGGGTGAGGGCAGCCCTGCTGTTGAAGTGCCCCATGTCGCCAACCGGCAGAAGTCGGCGTGGTGCTCAGCGTGCTCCTCTCGATAAGGAAGTGGGAAACCTCACAGAGACGACGGGATGCTTTTTTGAACAAAATGTCGACATGAAGCGGCCGCAGCGCCGGGAGAGGAGAGCTGTGTGCAGAGCAGGGGTGGGAAGGGGCAGCAGGGCGCTGCTGGGAGGGCAGGAGGAGGAAGGAGCTGGAAGCTCTGCGCTGCCGCGCAGCGCTCGCGCTCTCAGCGGAAGCCGTCGGCTCCGTGCCGGTGCTGCCGCAGCACAACTGATACCACGTCGGCTTTCGTTCTGTACAACTGCACTTTCTATTTTACAGCAGTGAGAACTGGCCTCGGTTAACAGGCCGAGAGCTGCAGCCTTCCTGAAGAGCCCTTCCTGCTGCCATTGAGGCCCCGCGTGGACCGGCGCTGCAGCGCTCCGTTCACTTGCTGCCTCGTTACCTGACTTCTCCTTTTCCTCTGGCAAATAATGAGCAGCACACGGCTGCAGAAGGAAGGAAGGAAGCCGGGGGTACTGAAATCAAGAGTTGAGTCTCAGTGGTGTGGATGAGTGAGAGGAGGTTCTGAAAGCAGCAAAGCCAGGACCTGCAGCACCGGGTGCTGCTGAGTGCAGGAGGGCACACGGGGGGCACAGCTCCCAGCACTCACATGGGAGCATCTGGGGCTGGGAGCTGCTGAGCCGTCCTGAGCCGCTCATCTCGGGAGAAGTTCTGCTGCAGTCATTGTTTAGAAGCTCTGCATTGGTTTCTTTTCATCACAGCCCCCACCGGCGCTCTGAGCCGCGCGTCCATCGCATCGGGTGGGTTTTTGGTTCTTGTAAAGCCTTCGTGGTTGGATGGCAGCAGTCGGGCTGTGCCGGCAGCTCCAGTGCCCACGCTGCCCCATAGACCCACGTGAGCCGTGCTTTGTTGGCTGCCCAGCGAGGCAGCACCGCGCTGACTGGACTCCCGTGCTGCTCCTTCCCGTGTCACACAGTCGCAGTTCACATCTCCCCTCCCCGTTACCTTTTAGCTGGGGGCACTTTGCAGAATTGCACGCTCTCAGAGGTGGGCAGGGTTTGCACCGCGGCCCCTGAAGGTGAGGAGAGGGCAAGGAGGGACAGAGTTAATGCAAACCGGGCGACAGGCAGTGTAAAAATAGCTCCGAGCTTGTTGGTGTGCTCACTGCAGGCTCACTGTTAGTCATCTGCCTGCCGGCCTCTGCCGCTCCGAGGATTGTTTTACAGCACTGAGATCTGCCATAATTTCTGTAGAGAGGGGCAGGGATGGCTGCGATGAGGGGGGTGCTGTCCCACATGGGAGCTGGTGGGTGTGGGTTTGTCTTTGCTTCCACGCTCAGCGCTGCGTGGGACCTGGGTTGGGGTTAGATCAGTGTTAAAGGACGTGGCAGGCTCCTCTTGTGAGCGTGGAGCTGCTTTGCCTGGGAAGCGTTGTGATGAGTGTCGTGCTTTTATTTTCCCATTCCTCAGCAGGGACTGTGAAGCTGTGAAATGGCAGTGATGGGGATTGCGTGCCATGGAGCTCCCGCTCCGCCCGCCAAGCAGCAGCAGGAGCTCAGTGCCACCAAAGGGCTGCACGAGGCCGCGAGCGAGAAGCAAAGCAGCGTTTGCAAAGTCGAGGATTCAAAGAAAGCCATCTTCCATAGTCAGTGGAAGATCCTCAACGACGTCATCACCAAAGGAACAGCAAAAGAAGAGACAGAAGGAGGCTGCGCGTCCATCTCCATTATTGCCCAAGCAGAGTGTGAGTAGCAGGGAGTGCTGCTCTTCATTGAGGAGAGGGGACACGGGAGGCAGTGTGCAGTTTCACTCTCCTGGGGAGCCCAGCTGAGATCTATTTGTAATCCCACGTGGGGTGGAGCTGCTGACACATCCCGGGCTCTATTTAGGCAGCTCATGAAACCTCTTAATAATGTGACAGCATTATTGAATGGCATGGAGTAACAGAACAGTGCGTGGCTGCTGCACTGTGATGGCTGGAAATGCATCTCGCAGTCTTCTTCTGTTCCTGGCTGGCTGCTGAGAGGCGTTCTACAGTAATAGTAATGATAGAAATGCTGGGAGGTGGTTGGGTGGGGGACAGCAGAGGGTCAGGAGGTGGCGGTGCTGTGGGCAGTGTGGTGCTGTGGCTCTGCTGGGTCACCATGTAGGTTAATATGTTGGGAGGGGGCTTCCTCAGTCCACTTCTTACCATCATGCTGAAGATGTGCAGTGATCCTGTTTTCTTTCACACAGGTGAGAACAGTCAGGAGTTCAGCCCCACTTTGTCGGAGAGATCCTTCATTGCCCACAGCAAGCGTTACAGGTGAGAGGTCCCAGAGCACAAACACTGCACTGCTGTGTGTTGCCCTGTCTGGGTCGCTCTGTGCTGTCTGTGCTGTCTGTGCTGTCTGTGCTCTCTGTGCTCTCTGTGCTCTCTGTGCTCTCTGTGCTCTCTGTGCTGTCTGTGCTCTGTGCTCTCTGTGCTCTCTGTGCTGTCTCCCTGTCAGTGCTGCCCGCTCTGCTGCTCCAGGTGGGAGCTTTGTCTGAAATCACTGAGCAGACCCCAGGGATGGTCTGGGTCTTCTGTTAACAGAACAGCACTGATGCTTTTGGAACCTCATTACAGCATTCTCTTTGGAAGCTGTGTGAGGCACGGAGTGCAGTGAGGGCCGTTCACTAGAGAGGGAACTGCTGCTTTTCTGGGGAGGATAAACAAAAGGGGATGAGAGAAGAACCTCTGCTTAGTAACAGCATCAGCAACAGGGCTGTGGAGAGAAACAGCTCGAGGGAGGAAAGTGAGGGTTGCTGTGACTCTGCTTCTCTGAAATATTCTTTTCAGGATCCCCTTTTTTTCACCCCACGCCTATGAAGGCACAAACTGGAGGACTACGAAGCCCCCTTGAAGTGGGGAGGTGGGATGTCAAGCACAGTGTGCTTTGACATTGCCCTCTGCCTCTGGTGTTGTCCTGTAACCAACTGAAGCAGAGGGAACCATTCCTCAATGCTTTTCCCCCCAAACACTCCTCATTTCTTCCTAATGGCACCACCTGCACTGCTGTGCTGTGACACTGGAGTTACAATTGCTTACAGTCGAGGGAAAGGAGCTGTGCTGCAGTTCCTGTCCTGTGCATCTCAGCAGGCAGAGCTGCTCGGTCTCCTCATCCCCGTGTTTGTAACTGTTAGCTGAGGCTGTGCTTTCCCCATCCCATCCAAGAGCCCTCACGTGTTTTGGTTTCCAACAGCCGCTCAGACAGCCTCGACCAGATCCCAAACAATGTGGCTCACGCGACGGAGGGGAGGATGGCTCCCACCTGCTGGAGGGGCAGGCATCGTGGGAAGGCAAAGAAGAAGCGTCACAAGAAACGATCCAAGCTGAAAATACAAACAGTGGCTGCTGGCAGACGGGGCCCCAGAACTCCAGAACAGGAGAGCTGCACTCCGATTCCCGTCCAGGTGAGAATTCGTGGGCACTCTTGTTGTGCTGCTGGGAGCCCTGCAAGGTGCTGAGCGCTCCTGGTTACGTCTGGGCAGCTGTCCTGAGGCTCCCGCTCAGCTGCTCTGTTCTCTTGTGTTTCCTAGGAGGATGAAACGCACCACAATGCTCTCTACAGAAACAGCTTTTGGCTATCAGAACTGAACAAGAGCTTGCTTTACGATCCACCCCCGTTTGAGAAACCTGAGAAAGTTCTGTCCACGGGCAAACTCCATTCAGTGGGCAGCCAGCACAAAACGGACTTGCACAAACTGATAAGCCCTGTCCAGTGCCTTAATCATGTCTGGAAACTGCACTACCAGAGGGACAACATCCCTCATCCTGAAACTCTCCGTCCTTTTCCATACAACATCATGCCCCCTCCCTTCCCACACCTGGACAATCCTATCCATCCCATGAAGCTCAGTGCTCTGGAGACGTATTTCCATCGTGATCTCAATTACCCAGACAGTGAGCATCGCTTGTCTGGCCTAAAGTTGGGCTATAGCTTCCCCAAGTGCGTCAGCCAGTCCGTGAAAAGCAGCTTGGACAAGGTTTCTGTGGAAGAATACTTGGTGGACGCCTTGAAGGGCAGCGTGAGCCTCGGGGAGCCGCAGAACTTGGCCAGCCTCGCCAAGACGTGGAGGGGAGGCGGTCTGGACCCGAAGGAACAGTTTCAAAAGGCAGATGAGAATGAAGGCGTGCTGCTCACTGAGGTGATCTTCCCGTCCTATTCGTGTCGTGGTAGGCAGAGTTTCTCTTGGGCTTCAAAAGAGAGAGAGCCCATATCCTTCAGTCACAAGGCTGCCTTTTCCAAGGGGATATTGGTACGGTTGAGCACTTTCAGGTAGAGATGTGACTTTGTTTTTTGAAGGCTATAAAGCCCTGGCTTAGCTTGGAGACTCTCACTTGTCCACTCATTTGCCAGACACGTGTGCTTGTCAGTGGGAAGTATTTCTGAGCGTTGGTCCTCCCATATTGTTTAACCTCAAGGCAGCAACAGAAGAAATTTTGTTCATGGATTTTTAAAGAGAAGTGATGTTATTGTGCTCTTTATTGGAAACTGGTGAACTCCACCGACAGCAGCTAAAGTTTCTCTGTTTGCTTCATCTTGTTTTGTGGTTCTTCTCCCCCAGAAACTAAAGCCAGTGGATTACGAGTACCGAGAAGAGGTTCACTGGACCAAGTGCCACGGCTCGCTGGGCATCGGCTCGTTTGGAGAAGTGTACAAAGTAGAGGACAAGCAGACAGGATTTCAGTGTGCTGCCAAAAAGGTAATTACGTGTGAGGAGGGGGGGTTGTGTGATGCAGGAGGCAAGGCTCTCTGAAGGGACCCATCCTCCTGCTGTGCAGGCTGTAGGTGCGGCCACAGCGCGGTGACGACGAGAATCCAGAGTGCTTTGTGTGCACGTAACGCTGGCGTGGTTCCATCACCTCTGTGCAACTGTTCCTCAAATGGCTGCAGCAGAAAACT